GTACATAAAATACTATTATACATTGTTGAAAATATAAAAAAACCACACACACACACATATATATACCTATGCAATAGGCAATATGACATAAATGACTATTACCCGATTCAAGTCATAAGGGGCAACATTGAAACAAAATATGATTTTAAAAATAAAATAATAAAAAGATTACATCATAAAATATTTAAAAAGGAATGTAATTTTATGTGGCACAAAAATCAAAGGACTTGGATCAAAGTCACCAAATCCTCAATAGGAAGTTGGATATATATTGTAACAACCCGATCCTTAAATAATTTTTAACTAATAATTTATTAGAGGAGAAGACAATTATGCCCTTGAGATATTTTATTTGGTTTTAAGTTGACTTTTTTACCGGGAAGGAATTTGAAAAATCCACTTGTACCATTGCATAGAGCACGACAAAACGAGTCCGTAGACACGTAGTGGACTCGAATCGGACTTGTAACGAAGAAAATACAATCAAAATACGAAAAAAAGGGCAAAATGGTATTTTTTTTTGCGAAAATCAGATTTTTTTTAATCTGATTCTCTCTCTCTCCTCACTTCCTCTTCTTCTTCTTCGCGAAACTTACCCCTCCCCTGTTCTTCTTTTGCTCCAGCCAACATCCCAAACCGCCACTAACACCCAGCCACTCACCACCTCCGGCCACCAGACCGGCCAAGGAAGTATCGCAGCCACCTCGGCAGCCCAGCCGTCAGCCGCCGCGAGTTTCAACCCTGCAGAAAAACGGGCTGGTTTTTGCTCAAACTTCTCAACCCTCGTTCTCCCTCCTCCGGTCACCGAATCGGACGAATTAGGTATGGTTTTTCGACTGATTTTCACGTTCTAGCTGATGGTTGGGTAGGTTTTGAGAAATTTTGAGGTTTGATTGGTTAAATTTCGAGCTGAAAGTTCTGCCAGTTTGCGTCGCCGTTTTCAGTCATTTCCGGCCACTTTTTGGCCATAGTCCAAGAACAAAAGTGGTTCCAAATAGGGTATATTACCTAGGATAGGAGTTTGGGCCAATGTGGTGGAAAAAATCCGGTCACCGGAAATTGTTAAGCACACCCACGCACTGCAGGCGCGTGGGCCAGGTAGCAGGGACCACTCTTGGTCCTAGAATGATCCCCGTGTCCTCACGAGCGCGTAGGTTTTCGCGGATCTCAATTCGGATAACGTTTGAACCCCGAACGGATCTCGCATAGTGTGCGTTTTTCGGGTTCAATACGTTCGGACCGTTGGATCATAGCCAAACTGGAGGATGTTGATCTAGGTATTTTAATGATCGTGTAGGATTCGACGGATCGTCAATCGGAGTCCCGGATACTCCGAAAAAGCCAACCCTAGGACTAGGTTTACGGAAAATCATTCATTAGTCCGATCGTACAATTGTGAGCAATCCGACCATCCGATCGAGACCAAACTCTTGGGACATGTGTTCTAGGCCTATTGGAACCTCTAGGAACGATCGGATCGGAATTCTGAGGTCGTGGACATGGTTATTCAGGCACCCGGGCACCAGGTGACCCGCAGGAGGGACCTTCAAAGGGTCCAGCTAGCTCAGAGTATCTGTGAGTGGACTGTTTGTTTTATAAACGTTTTATGCATTTTAATTTCATTATTTGATCTTGAATAAGTTTTACTGAATACAGCTTTCCTAGCATGACTTGATAGATTTAAATATTTCTGTTTATTTATGTGCTGCCTAGTGGAACATTTAAAAAGGGATTTGGAAAGTTAGAACTGAGGTATTATCAGATTAAATGGCAGCAGGATTTAAGGAATAGTTTTATAAGTAGTTTTATAAACTTTAATCTTTTTCAAGAATTATATATATATATATACATTTATTTTAAGCCACCAAAGGTACCCAAGGTTGCCTTCAGTATAATAAATGTTGCCTCGGAAATAAAGTTGCCTTCGGAATAAAATTATGTTGCCTTCGGTTATATTGATGTCGACGGACATCCAGTTGCCTTCGGGTAAGTCAGCATGCTAGACACCGCCCCACGATTTTCGGGGACGCCCAAACCGTGGGTGTGAGGAATGCGGATCAGGCAGACCAAGTGTCCCCTGAATTCTGCTAGGATTGCGGATCAGGCCGACCAAGTGTCCCCTGAATTCTGCTAGGATTGCGGCTCGGGTTGACTTTGTGTTTCCCGAGGTCTGCTAGGACGTGTCACTCCGGTGGCACGAGAATGGAATTGACGGATTATAAAGGAATTGACGGAAATTAAAGGAATTGACGGATTATAAGGAATTGACGGATTACTAAATGGGTACACCTAGGTGGTAGATTTAAAGTGTTTTCAATGTTTTCAAAGACTTAATAATTGATCAAGTATATGATTGATATATATATATATAAATATGATTACATTGATTTCAGTACAATTATGAATAAAGAAATGTTATAGTTTCTTAACTGTTTTTACAGAGGGGTTAGTATGTTCTTATACTATTTTTTTTCTAAAACTTTGTTTTTGGTCCACTCACCCTTTTAATGTTTTGTGCCCCCAGGCAGTAAGCGTGCATAGTGAGCCACCACCGGGCCGAGTTCATCTTTCGCCACCTTCCTTGACAAAGTAGGGTTTTGTTTAATTATTTTATACTTGTAACCTAATCTGTACAGAGCTCTGATATTGCCCTAGATTGCATGTCTGACTATTGGAATGTAATTATTTGCATGCTGATAGTTGGCGTATATTTTATATGCATGTTTGACAGGTGTAATCTTGGGTTTGGTTTAACTGCAGGGGAGACCTTGCTGAATTTTTCAGCAAAAGTCAAACCCCAGTTTTAGTTGAAAGTTGACTGGAAGGGCAATTAGGTCTTTGGTGCTCGGCACTTGCCAGGTGTCGGACACAAACAGGGTCCGGCTAGGATTCCAAAGTGGAATTTGGGTCGGGTCCTGTCATCGTACCCAAGGGATTGCGTGTAAAGATAGAAAACCAATTTCACCCAAGTTAATTTCATTGCCAACCTAGTTGATTCAAATGGTGATTTGTTTGTTCAAAAAGAAAATGAAAGAAAATAAAGCATAAAACAAATATAGCAATGACAATAAACTGAAATTAAGATTTACATTTATGAGAAAAATAATTAAGGTATTAGATTTCCACTTTTAACATAAACATGCAACTCTTAATAATTTGATCCACAAAATATTTTCCAATGTAGTTGTTCAAAATAATTAAAGCTCTTTTTAATTTCCTTTAGAAATATTCTAAGCATAACTTGTACCATTGGCAACAAACTATCAAAAAATAATCTTCATCAAAATTCTATTAATCTTTAGTAATTCTCTTCTCTTTTAAAAGCATGAAAGTTTTTACTACACAATGGGAAAAACATGATTGAACCCATGAAATAGATTATCAAACATTCATCAATTAATTAAAAAGAAAACTACAAATTCCATTTGAACAAATACTACAAATTCACATTAAAGCTTAAGTTTGGATCAAACTAATAAAAATTACACACTTATATTAAAAGCTAGCCTACGGAACCATGAGGTATTAGAATCCACACCATCATTCCATAAGATCCTAATTATTTATCTTTCAATTCCCATGGAGTAGCAATCTAGAAATCAATCTACTGCTTTCTCAAGATTTATCAATTAAGCTTGTAATTTAGATCATAAGTAAATTTTCCTTCCCTTCATAAGTACAAATTCTAAGCATAATATGTAAACAAAATTATTTAACTACAAAGGATCAAAGTTTCCTAAGCATCCTATGTGAAAAAGTTTATTTGAATAACAAAATATCAAAGAAAATTGTAAATTAGAAATATAAACCAAGGATGAATTAATAGATTAATCCAAACTCTTAACTACCACAAATACATGTTATATCTCACAATACATGATAGAAGTGGTGAAAAGAATTTTAATCTATTAATCATGTGAAGTGAAAATTATAATCATTGAACACCACAATAATTGAGAATTGAAAATAAAAACTAGAACTTTATTTAATAATGGTGTTTCATCCAACCTTGGTTAGGTAATTTAAATAGACATAATTAATATTTAAAACAAAACAAAGAAACTAAAATACATAAATTAAATGAGAACTAGGAAAGGAAGAACAAGTTTAAAAGAGTTATTAGCTCTTGGTTCTTTCCTTTCCATCATTGTTCTCTTTCTTCCTCACTCTCTCTCTATCTTTGCCGTGTGTTTTTCTCTCCCTTGATCTTTGCTCAAAACTTGTATTTATAGCCAAAGAAAGGGAGTCTTGAATTATATAATAATCAAGTAGCTTACTTTTCCAAATATCTTTCTCATCTTTAGCCTACTTCCTTTACTTTGGTTTCACAAAGATCTTTGAGTCTTCTTATCAATTGCTCCACTTGCTCCATCTCATCTCTCGTATCTTCTCATAAAAACTGCAACAACTTTCCTCAAATGGTAGCTAGATAACAACTCAAGCATCATCATTCTTCTTTGCATTCATTGGTTGCAAGTAGTCAATTTGAACTTCTCCTTCATTGTTTATTCATTCTTTCTTTATTTCTTCAATGATGGAAGCTTGCATGCATGTCCTAGAGCATATTAATGCAATTGATTGCTTCTTCTTTGGTTTTGGCATTGAACCACACGTTGTTTTGAGCATATTTCCTTGACCATGGCTGCACACATTTTCATCTTTCTTCTATCTTCTTTTTGCAACACATTACTTATTCCTCCTCCTCCTCATGCCATTGGTGGAAGACACTTAATATCTACAAATAACCACTCAATAAGTATAAAAACAAGATTTGGAATGAAACAATAAAAATACTCTAATAGATTTACATAAAACAAAAGAAAATACTAACAACTATAAATTTAAGGATAAAACTTGTATTAATTTTGTGCTCATCACAGGTTACCATAGTATCACAATTAAGAGCACGCCTTGCTAGAAAATGAGCTACTTGGTTACACCCTCTTGGACTAAAAGAGATAGTAACCTCTTCAAAGTGTTGTAGACTCCTCTTAATATCATCAATAAGATGCCCATGACTCTTCCTCATCCTTCTTTTCATCATTTACCACCCCTTGTGAATCAGACTCAATTAAAATAGAAGAAAAGCCAGCATCCCGAGCAAATTTCATCCCGAAATGAAGCGCCATGATATCTGCATGTTTAGATGAGGTGGCAGTGGCAAGAGGAAGGGCCATAGCCGCCATCACTTCCCCTTTGTCATTTCTAACAACAGCACCAATTCCACTCACACCTGTTTCGGGAATAAAAGCAGCATCAACATTCAGTTTATATCTACCAACAGGAGGATGAGACCATTTGGTTGGTTTCTCTACAATTAACTTAGGTTCCCCTTTCACAAGACTTTCATATTCATCAGCCAAATAATGAGCTCTGTTGAAAATCACATTTTGTGCACAAGAGCGACCTTCAATAACAGCTTTATTTCTGTTTTGCCATAAATTCCAGTAGATATATAAAAACAAGCGCATTTCATACTTCGAAAGATACATAGTGGCAATTTCAAACAAATCCCCATAGTTGGAAAAGTGTAGCCCTATAAAGACCTCCCTGAACAACACTTTTTTCCAAACTTTTTGGGCATTAGGACAGCTCCACAAAGCATGAATTACACTCTCAAAATTCACATTACAAATGGGGCAAGAGTCATCAGAAATTATTTTTCTTTTCAACAGATTAGATCTACAAGGAAGATAATTTTTAATAGCTCTCCAATTAAAATATAAGAGTTTTTGTGGTACCTCTTGGGACCAAACTTTTCTCCATAAAGCACTTCGTATTCTTGGTTCCGAAGAAGATCCAACAGCTCCACTGCATTCCTTTTTCTTAGACATCTCCAGCCTATATCCACTCTTCACATAATAAATTCCATTTGTAGTATAATGCCAAATCCATCTATCTTTGTGATAATTAACACTCAAATGAATAGATGTAATAGCCTTAACATCATCCTCATGAAAACACAAATTTAGTAAATCAACATTCCAATTCCCAATAGGAAAAATAAAGTCACTTACTTTAGTTTCTTGATCCAACACTTGAGGGGAAATAGGGCGGAAAGAGTTAGGTCTAGGAATCCAAGCATCACCATAGACTTGTGTTTCTTGTCCATCTCCAATCCTCTTCCTTAACCCACTCAAGAGCAACTCACGACCCCAAATCAAAGACCTCCAAATATAAGAAGAAGCTCTTCCTTTACCCGCTGCCAAAAAATTACACTTTGGAAAGTATCGCGCTTTTAACATTTTATGAATCATTGTATGTTCATTGGTAAGAAGTCTCTAGCATTGCTTAGCCACAAACGCTTTGTTAAAAGACTCCAGATCTCTAAACCCCATTCCACCTTCTTCTTTTGCAAAACACAAATGCACCCACTTTGCCCAGCTAATACCTTTATCCCATTATAATTTTGACTTGTATACAATATAGTATTTTAATACGACAAGCACAATTCAAGAAAAAAAATTTCACATGTTGGGTTAGAACCTGAAACACGAAAAAGAAATTCACTCTTTTATTACCAATAAAAAGAATTGGTTAATTCTTTTATTTTATTTTATAAATGTATAGAAGATAATATTTTATTTAATAAAAATAAATCATGTTATCACAATAAATCTCGAGCCTCTACATTTAGAATCTACGCCGTTTTATTTACATAACTTTTTGTTAGCATCGATAATATCTTTATGCAATACAATTAAGTTTGCAACTGAATTAGCTAACTCCAAGAATTCTACAGTGAGAGCCTTATGCATGGCCTCCCTATAGAATTCTTCTTCAATTCAAAGGCATTGATAATATCGAAATTGCAGAAGAAGTAGGCCCAGACCGGGTCAAAGTTTAAGTTGGAATATTGGGCCCTCAAATAGAAAACAAAAATCTCAGACTTTCAACATGCAGCACTGGACAACTGGGCAGTAGAATTTTCTCGACCCAAGAAGCAAGCAGGGAAGAAGGAAAGAGAAAAAATTGACCACTGACTGACTCACTGACTTTTATAAATAAAAAACAGTAACCTTTTGTTTTTGGCTTCGGCTTTTCCACATTCAAATTTGAAAGTTGAAAAGTTTGAAACAACAAAAAGCGTTTAGTGTGGTGGCTGTCAGAGACAGGCCTGTGGTGCCAAATGGCCCCTCCATAGCTTTCACTCACCAATATTCAGGCGGTCACTCCTCCACCAGCTTTTCTAAATTTGTAGTCTCTCTCTCTCTCTTCTCCTCTTCTCTTCTCTGTGTGTGTCAGTTTGAGAAACTGAGCAAGACTTTCTCTTTTTCTTGTTTTTGTTCCTGTCTCTCTCTCATAGAAGTTTGGAAAACAGAAGGAAAGAGATGGAGAGTGAGGATAAGGTGAAGAGAGAAGGTCTTCCTTTGTACGGAGGCAAGTACATACAGTATAACATTCTGGGTAACCTCTTTGAAGTCTCCGCCAAATATGTTCCTCCTATTCACCCTGTCGGTCGCGGTGCATACGGCATCGTTTGGTATCTCTCTCTCCCTCCCTGTTATTGATTTTTGATTAAAAAATTCTCAACTTTTTGCTTTCTCTTTCAGTATCAGTGTTTTTTCTTTATTTTTTGGGCTTTGAAATGGTATATCTGTTAGGATTCTGGTAAAAGCTGGGTTGGACTTTGACCATGGAATTGAAAAGTTGACTTCAAAATTGAATTGGGTAGGCTTTAGCTTAGTGGGGTTTTGTTTTTCTTGGGTTCTAAATCTGAGATTCAAATCCAATGAGCCACTACTTCATTTTATTCAATTCTGTCTTTATTGTTTTGACTTTGGTTTGGGTGCTTTTGTATTTGAATTGGAAAGCGAGGCTTCTTGCTCATACAGCTATCAGGAACTGTTCAAAATTCTTGCTCATACAACTATCAGGAACTGTTCAAAAAACTTGTGGAGATAGATAGCTCTTTCAAATATTCTTACTGCACTCATTTGATAAATTTGGGAGATTTCTTGGTGAATATGTGGAAATATGTATCTTGATTTTTACTCAATGTGAGTAGATGTGTGAGTGAGGCCAAAAAAGAAAAGTAGAGGTGGTTAATATTTCCTCATGGCAGCTGTGCAACAAACTCTGAGACAAAAGAAGAGGTTGCAATCAAGAAGATTGGGAATGCATTTGACAATAGGATCGATGCCAAGAGGACGCTTCGAGAGATCAAGCTTCTTTGCCATATGGATCATGACAATGTAAACCTTTTGCATTCAAATCCCATATCCTCTGCTGTTCCTTCCTTTAGCAAAGTTGGAAATATCCAAATATGGATAAATGCTTGTTTTTTAAATGTCTGGTCAATGCTATTCATAAGCATACCATAAACTGAAAATCTTATTATAGGGAGTTTTGTTGTTAAGGCTAGTTACACTCGTTTCTTAACTTGTTTTACTGTGAATAATAATTGTATCATTATTTTGCAGATTGTCAAAATTAAGGACATCATAAGGCCAGCAGAGAGGGAAAAGTTCAATGATGTTTACATTGTATATGAACTAATGGATACTGACTTGAATCATATAATACACTCCAGCCAGGCTTTGACAGATGATCACTGTCAGGTAAGTAGAGCGTCGATATATTCTGGACTTTTTTTAGTAGGGATGTGAGAACTAGTTATAGAATTTCTAAGGTGAAGCTATTAAGTTTATGATGTCGATCAATCAAGTTCTTCATTGTTCAACGACAGCTACTTGTCTCTTTGAACAAGAAAATTAAAAGTGACTGCTGCTGCTTAATTACGATTGACATTCTTTACATTTCCAATCAAGATACACATAGGTTTAGTGAATGCGGGGAAACAATCTAACTTGTAGGGCACTGTGTAGGTTAGTGTAACATAGAAGTGTGATATTTTTGATATGCATACCATTTTTCCCCTTAAATTTGCAAAGGCTATTATGTAATGCGTCAAGCCATTCAATGATTAGTTACTTTGTATTGAACATCTGGTTCGTACTTGCTTCTTTTGTTTACTGCTATTTATAAAGTTGTTGCTTCTGTTACTAATCTCTCCTTCCTATGTGTTAGTCATGTTGTATTAGCAACATACATGCTCTGATTGTAATATGAATATGTAACCCTATAAATTCTTTGAGATTGAAACTTAGATCGCTTATCTTAAGCGACACGTAATGTTTTTGGCAGTACTTCTTGTATCAATTGCTGCGGGGATTGAAGTACATACACTCTGCAAATGTTTTGCACCGCGATCTGAAACCGAGCAACCTGCTTCTCAATGCAAATTGTGACCTTAAGATTTGTGACTTTGGGCTTGCTAGAACTACATCAGAGACAGATTTCATGACAGAATATGTTGTAACTCGTTGGTATCGAGCCCCTGAGTTACTGCTCAACTGTTCAGAATACACTGCAGCCATTGATATTTGGTCAGTAGGTTGCATTTTCATGGAGATTATTAGGAGGGAACCACTATTTCCCGGTAAAGACTATGTTCAACAGCTGAGTCTCATAACTGAGGTACTCATTTTCTCTGTAATTCTCTTGCAGTTCTTGAACTTAATAGATGTGATTTAGTGTCAGTTGAGTGTTGTTACATTGTGGACATCCTTTTAGAAGGGATGTCAGAACTAGTTACCAATTTGAAAGTTGATACTATTAATTTACGATGTTGATGAATCAAGTTTGTGATTGTTCAAAAACAGCTACTAGGTTCACCAGACGATTCAGATCTTGAATTTTTAAGAAGTGATAATGCTAGGAAGTATGTTAAGCAGCTCCCACATGTCCCAAAGCAACCCTTTGTGCAGAAGTTCCCAAATGTCTCGCCAATGGCAATTGATCTTGCAGAAAAAATGTTAGTTTTTGATCCAAGCAAGCGTATAACTGGTAAGTCTCTTAGCATTTGGTAATGATTAATCTTCAACTTTCTCACTAATTTTCGAAATACTAATATCTACCGTCTCATTTGTCATATATGAAAAGTTGAGGAAGCACTGAATCATCCATTTTTATCAAGTCTTCATGAGATCAATGAGGAGCCCGTTTGCCCATCTCCTTTCGTCTTTGATTTCGAGCAGGCAACCCTGGATGAAGAAGATATAAAGGAGCTCGTATGGAGGGAGTCTCTACACTTCAACCCGGATGATATGTTGGGATAATTTTTGTCAGCAGCGATCTAATTTCTGTTTCTGTTTTTTTTTTTCACTGCTACCACTGGCATCATGTAAAAGGATGCTTTTGGTTTCGAAAGGTTGGTAATTATCATATGCGAGGAGATTCCATATAAGAAGATCAACTAGGGAGATGGCGTTTTCCGGCGTGTTGTGTGGATGAAATGCCAGCTTCATAACAAGAGTGGTAGTGTTGGTGTGTATAAAAAGAAGGCTTTGTTCTCCTGGCCTTGTTTGGATTTTGATGTGTTTTGTATATTGTAAATCCATTATGATTCAAAACCAAATAAAAATAAGAATATTACCGAGAAGACAGCACAAAGTGATTATTCTCCTCTGCATATTGTGTTGGACTTCTTATGAACACCTTGAGAACATAAATGTTAGTGCAGAAGATGAGCAAAATCAAGGTATGGAGGGATGAGAGCGTAGAGATTTTAGGTTCAAACTTAAAAATCTCATTTCCACACCACTTGCGAAGTCTTCTGAAATCTCATTTTAACAAAAGAGTAGAGATTTTCTGTTTAGTAGTTGTTGTTCACGAAATTTGAACTTAAAAATCTTCTAAAATACCATTGGATTATTGACTATTTTAAATGAGACGGTGAACTTAAAAATCTTCTATTGACCATTTTAAATGAGACGGTGAACTTAAAAATCTTCTAAAATACCATTGGACTATTGACCATTTTAGATGAGACGGTAGATATTAGTATTTCGAATAGTAAATTATACCAATCTTCTTCATATGATTTAGCCTGAATTATTACCGGTCCAATAGAATTATTTTTCAGAAATAATTCGATCTAATAATAAACCGAAAAACGATCATATTGGACCGATCATAATTCGGGCTAAATCATATAAAGAAGATTGATATAATTTACTATTTAGACCCAAACCAAATCAAACTAGTGCCACCCACTCAAGTTCTCCAAGTCTTCTCGTTCAGGGCATTAAGTTAGTTAACTTAACTCGCGGGTGGCCCAAATCGAGTTCAGCCTCGCTTGTTTTCTCAGAGCTTCCATATTTTCTGGACAGTGAGTAACTAAATAGTATCGAAAACTCATAAGAAAGAAAAACAATGAGCCTCCGAATACTGAGAAAGGCTTCGCAGACGCAAAACGCAAAGCAATTATCCTCCAGTTTCTCCAAATTCACACGATCATTCTCGCAGCTCTCCTCACAGTCCAAACCGTCCGTCAATCCCTCCTTTTCATTTTGTTTCTAATTTTTTTTTTTAAGGAGAAAAATTTGATGAAGTTCGTGAATCGTGAGCACAAATTGGGTTTGATTATGATTAATTTGGCAGGCCTTCCTTTGGCATTGCGTTCGACATCGACGGCGTCGTTTTACGCAGCGAAGCTCCCATCGGAGGCTCTGCAAGGTTGGCCACGGTTTGGGGTGCCATGGCAGAGAGCAAATGCAAGCGAAAGGGAGGGAAGGCTCTGATTACCAATTGATGTAGAACAGCCCAAGTAGATTTAGAGTAAACACTTGAGCAATAAAACAGAGAAGAAATAAGAGATCGAGGAGACGAAAATATAGATCAAAGGGACGAAAGAAAGGACCGAAATCAGAGAACCGAGAAGGAAGAACAGAAATCACATAGTTTTAAGAGAAGGTTTACTCAATATCCAAATCTGAATTTTAAAGAACTACATGGGGTTATTTATAGAAAACTAAAACCTAGACATAATAGGATAAAAATCCCTTGCTTAAACAGAAATCCTAACCTAAATAAAATAGGAAACTTAAAACTAGAAATCTGACATCAAGTTAGTTAACTTAACTCGCGGGTGGCCCAAATCGAGTTCAGCCTCGCTTGTTTTCTCAGAGCTTCCATATTTTCTGGACAGTGAGTAACTAAATAGTATCGAAAACTCATAAGAAAGAAAAACAATGAGCCTCCGAATACTGAGAAAGGCTTCGCAGACGCAAAACGCAAAGCAATTATCCTCCATTTTCTCCAAATTCACACGATCATTCTCGCAGCTCTCCTCACAGTCCAAACCGTCCGTCAATCCCTCCTTTTCATTTTGTTTCTAATTTTTTTTTTTAAGGAGAAAATTTTGATGAAGTTCGTGAATCGTGAGCACAAATTGGGTTTGATTATGATTAATTTGGCAGGCCTTCCTTTGGCATTGCGTTCGACATCGACGGCGTCGTTTTACGCAGCGAAGCTCCCATCGGAGGCTCTCCTCAGGTCTTAAGAAGATTGTACGACGATTCTGGTACCCTCACTTCTTATACCCACCTCCCATTTTTATTTATTTTATATTTTTTTAGGATTTTATTTGAAAAAATTTCAATTTGTGGGCAGGTAATCTTAGCATTCCGTACGTGTTCTTGACAAATGGTAAGTCTGTTGATTTGCGTTTTTATGCTGGGTTTTTTCCACGTGTTATAATCAAAATAAAATGGTTTTTTGTTTTTTGTTTTTTGGGTTTTGAATAGGTGGTGGGTTTACTGAATCTAAAAGAGCCCTTGAGTTAAGTGAACTTTTGGGTGTCAAGATTTCACCTTTACAGGTATTTTTGTTAGAATGACCACAAATTTGATTATTTTATTCAAACTTCTATCCTTACGTACTTGCAAATCTGTAATACTAAATACTATTTTTTGACTGCATGGTGTTGCATGCAGGTTTTACAGGGCCATACACCTTTTAAGCAGTTAGTAAACAGGTATGCATGTAAGCTTGAGTTATGGGTCAGAAATGAAATTTCGTTTAACAAGTTATAGAGTGTGTCTTCGTCTTGCATTAAGTATTGGCAGTGTTGGGGCATGCTTCATTTTTCTCTGCCAACATTGTATATGCCTCTAGGATAAATGTGGGCATCAAAAGTTGGGTACCTTAGTGAGAATTACACATGGTGAAAATGAACCTGAGTTCTGTATCTAAGCAGATGCATTTCATTGTTACTTAATGGCAGCACTATGGAATTCCATAAAGGATGCCAATTTGTCACTTCACAACCATGATGTAGAGTAAGAATCACATGGTCACAACCTATTGTGTGAACAATCTTGATCTGTTCTGTTTGTTTGATTGATAGATTTCATCTTTGTCTCATTGTATTCTTCTATTCAAGATTTTCAATTTTGACTACAGATTTGAGAATGAACTCATTGTTGCTGTGGGGAAAGGAGAACCTGCTGCAGTTATGTCTGAATATGGATTTAAGTACGTTTCTGGTTAGATTGTCTAGGCTAATTTGATTTTGGCATGTTGAATTTCTTCACAAATTTGAATAAAATGTCTGATCTGATCTGAGATTTTTGCTCTTGATTTTCTTTGGGGTTTTTTTCCCTCGTTTCAGAAATGTTCTTTCAATTGATGACTATGCGTCCTGCTTTGAAAACATTGACCCACTAGCACCGTATAAGAAATGGACAACTAAGCAGGTTAAGGAGGTTGCTGCCAGAGACCTTGTATCCTCACAAAGAGTTCAGGCGGCGTTTATAGTTAGTGATTCTGTTGATTGGAGCAGAGACATTCAGGTTATTTTGGACAAGTTTATTTGATCATAATGCTATAGGACCTCATGTATGTACATGCACATTACCAAGAGGATTTAGGATTAATCAATGCCTCATGTTTGTTAGCTACACATATGAATTACTGAAATGCTATCAATGCTGTCTTCAAATACTTTCGACAATTTCACCTTATTCCCACTTTCATGTTCTGTTAGAATTTCTCAAATCTATATGTTAGCCATTTTATAATCATTAAAGTATCAATTGACTAATGATGGATGTTTATACCAGGTTCTATGCGACATTTTTAGAACTGGTGGTCTTCCTGGTCGGGAAATTGGACACCAACCACATCTTTATTTTGCGCATGATGACCTTGCATACCAGGTTGATTCTCCTTCCCCTGTAATAAATTAATTGTTTTCTTGACTCCAATATAAATTCTTGAGTTTCTATGAACTAGTTTTGATAATATAAAATATGTATGATGTACTGACAAGGTGCTACTAAAGGTAGGCTGCTTTTCCTACTGAGCGTTTTGGAATGGGAGCTTTCAGAATTGCACTAGAATCCATCTTTAATAGGTAAGCCTAGAAATATCCAAAAAGTGTATCATTGTACGTTTTCCTTCTAATCTTCCCGTTAAAATGCTGAGATATGCTCTTCTAAACCCCTTTTGAATGGGTCGTAACTCAACTGACTACAATTCCACTCAGATGAATTTGTAGCTGATCTCTGAGTTCAAAAGATGGCTCACTAGTTGAAATGGGATGGAATACATGAATGCTGTTTGATAGTGCTGATCATAAATTTGGGTTTTGTCAAAGTTTTAACCCTTAATTAAGTTTTACGAAATATAGCTTTGTGTGATGATTATATTTCATATTACGTACCTTATGAAGGTTAAAGACTAAGAGGCCGATCAAGAGTTTAAGACCAACATGGGAAAAGATAATATGAAGAGATGTGTGAAAATTAGAAGAAAAAAAAAGGAAAATGTGAATTCATTTGGTTGACCTCATATGACTAGGACAAAGGCAAGGATGCTGATGATGATGATTTCATGTGATGAGTTATGCATCATGCTAAAGCTGCTAGTTCAAATTAATATGCAGAATCCATCCTCATGCTCTGGAGTACACAACTTTTGGGAAACCAAATCCATTTGTATTCAAGAATGCAGAACTTGTACTTAAGCAACTTGTGTCAGCTCTTCATAATAATCTTCAAGTTGCCACCAATCAAGCAAATGCTGGAAGTTACCAATTCAAAACACTGTATATGATAGGAGATAATCCTTCGGTTGACATCAATGGTGCACGACAGGTTTGCGTCTCTTGAACTTGAATTTTGGTTGCATAGTTTCTACATGAGTAAAATGAACACTATTTAACTTAAAATCAGAGGAGAAGGAAATAATCAATCCTATTTCTCATTTCAGGCGGGTCATCCCTGGTTTTCTATTCTGACAAGGACTGGGGTTTTCAAGGGAAAGGAAAATCATGCCGAATTTCCAGCGGATCTGGTAGGTTTTTAAAACTTTTCTGCCTGCATGAAAATGTAGTATCATGTTTACTTTATTCATCCTCCCCTCTTTCTCAGGTGAGGGGTGGAACTTGAGTTTATAGGTAGAGATGTAATTGCAAATCTCATGCATTCAAATTTGTTAACAGATAACTGACTTTGCTTGTGCAGGTTGTTGACACTGTGGAAGAAGCTGTAGACTTTGTTTTGAGAAAGGAATACATCTCTTAGAGTTTTATTCTGTACACTTTTTGTTTTTTTGGGGGTTCCCTTCTTCCCCTCAGATTTTATTAATTTTTGAGAAATTTATTTGTGGTTTACAATATTTTTTTAG